TCCATGATTGGATCGTAACACATCCACTCTTCACCTCGACCATTACGACTTATCACATATTCACCATATATATTTATCCGACGCACTTGGGGTCACGACCAAACTCGCTGTTCCTTTGGCTCCCGGTTGCGCATCTCCCCGTGGTGAGTTTGTCCAGGGCAGTCTGCCAGTTTGGCAGAAGATATCTCCAAGTAGGTACATACGTGGGTAAGGTAGTCTACAGCGTTTCGCGGAGAAAGGCAGTAATTCTGTGCCGTGTCTTTCTTGCCCTGTCTTCCCTGCTCTGTCCTACCTTTCCTTTCCCTTTTCTTTTGCGGGCTATGACGAAAAGACTGGAAGGATCCCGGGTTGTTTACATGGCCTGGCGTGGTGTGACAAGGGCAGGTTTCTGAGCTTGGAACAAATAGTTCAATTCCGCTGATGAACTACTTTGGTCTCGAAGGCCTTGTTGGTCCTTTCAACCTCTAGAGGAAGGCTGGGCTTCAAGGCCTTCTTATGCCAAAAGGGAAACGGTACATATCTAGTACATACGGGTCCTTGTCACCTGAGGCTCCAAGGCATCTAGCGATCTGCATACATGTAGGTCTTTCTCGTATGACACCAGGAGTGTGGCATATGCCCGTATGCCACCAAGAGTGTAGCATATGTCCGTGTGACACTAGCGGGTCTGGATTTGGTATTTGGACCTTGTCACTCGGAAATCCCGGTGCCCTTAAGCCGTATATGTCGCGTCGCAGTGTTGTAGACATGGAATCAAGTGACCTCGAGAAGATGGTATAGTTCACATCTTTCCCAGAAGGAAAAACCCACTTGAATGTCTCCAGAGAAGCTTGGTTACCAGCTTTATCAGAAGCATTGCCTAATAGAAAGTCCTTGGCTGATTGGTGGATAAAATAAACAGTCTGGTCTCGAAGAGTCAAAAACGAGCCGCAAAGCCCTATAAGCTCTTCCAGGGACTGCGGATCGTCTGAAATATCGCCTGACATCTCCACGAGAGAGGTCAGTTCTTGAAGGCTGATGGGTCGGCGAACGATAGAGACGGCAAGAATTTGCCTGCACAGATCCGCGTGATTGGACTGAATAATCTGCTCCATCATCCGCGCATATAGGGAATCCAACCCTGCGGGGAATGTCCGTAACTTTTTTAGTGTCTCCCACTTCCGAACGCTCGGATCCCCAAGTCCTTGGCAGACCAAGGCCACCCAGAGAAAAGTCCCATTCGCGTTAGAAGAGAGATAGCCATGTACCTCCGTCTGCATTGTGCTGTTGTACCGTTTCCGGCGCGACAAGTGAAGGACTTTGTGGCGGATATATGCACTGACGGCAGTGTTGACAGATTTGGCGTTTAGCTCGAGGCTGAGTCTGGACTGTTGCGCGACGATCGCTAAGTGTTCTTCGATCTGCACCTCGTTGCGACTAGATACAAGCCACTTGACACAAGCAGACACAGATGATATCTGGACGATCAACTCGAGAAGCTGCGGTTGGTCTGTCACACATTCGTCCAAAGCATCAATCACCAGATAGGTGACCTTCAAGTTCGGGTCTTCTAGCATCTCGCATAAAACCTTAGATAGGACGATCCATGCCATTGTATCATCGGAGGGGTATGTGTTCTCCGGTAGATGTGAGAGCAGGCGTGGTTGCCGGTGGGCAAGTAGGTAGATTAAGCCTTGTAGCACGCCAGTTGCATTATTGATGCGTGAGTCGGTAGCTTGGCAGAAGAAATACGCCAAGTTGCCGCCGTCAGCGATAACACGCCGCTCTAGCTCGTCGATGATACCGCATAGCAACATGGTCTTGCCCTTGCCTGGATCTCCCTTGACCCAGAGCAGGCGACTCTCCCGCAGCTGGCGCCATCGGTTGAAGTCGGGGTTGTCGAAGACCTAGCGATAAGCATCAGCCAGCAGACCACCCTTCGCCAGCTCAATCCGCTCCTTTTCAACGTGCGGGTCATGCGGATCTGTGGGCCACAATTTTGCCAGACAGAGGTAATCCTCGTGAACCTTGTCCTGCAGCCGCTTTCTCCCTTCCTTCGCCATAGAGAACCGGCATGTGCACATCGAAGATGCCGAATAGAGAGTACACCTTGTCTTCCTCGTATTTTGTGTCACGCTTCTCGATCCATCGCATCCGTTCGGCGACGCTGAAATCAGATAGAGTGACACCTTGGAAGGCTTTTCGCGGAATTCCGGTTATATCGTGGATTTCTTGTTCCAGAGACTCCTTATCTCCCAGGCGCTCGCCCTCTTTAGAGAAAAATTCGACGATCGTTGGGGCAATGAGCTCTTGGAGGGTCCATCCTCGGGAAAACCATCTGCTCTCTCGAAAGGTCGGTTGCCAACCGGGGCCGTCACTGTGTTGATGGGTTGAGACGTCTGCCAAGTACACGTAACATTTCACCGCGCCGCGGTACCAATGGAACATGGAGTTGAGAGCGTGCTGAAGCTCGGCGCTGTCAGACTTGTCGATGCAGCATGTGTCTACCCAGAAGAATTTCAGCCCATCGCGCCAGGCTTGGTCTCCGCAAAAACGAATCTTAGCGTAGCCTGCTTTGTTCTTGCCTGTACCGTCCATCATTTCTTTGAAGAGGACTTCTTCAGGACCCCATGTGTGTGAAAGTATCGCATACGGTGGAATCTTGTCGTTGGGAGGTCCTCCGTCAGATGGACCCCGCCGGTATCGTCACGCTCCAGGAGTCACATTGCAGAGTTCGCCAGCCTCAGCTCCCTTGGCAGCTGATCATACAAATGTTCGATGATGGGAAAAGGCTCGCAGGCTTTTGCGAGCGGACGGCTTATGTTGACGGGACTGTAGGTACAGCAAATCAGCAGTTGAAACTAGGGAAATTACTCGACAGACGAGAACTACTTACTATAAGTAACTGACAAAATTCGTAGCGTATATCTCGGTGAGTTTAATTGGAAGCCTTGAAGGTGGTTGCTGTTGTTGTCTTTGTTTCAAGGCGCTGCCTTTGCCTGGATCACCATTCCCGCAGGACTCGGACTTCCACCATATCTGACGCGAACTGAGTAGAGATATCGGGCAGAACCTCTTCGGCACAACCTCTTCGACACAGCTGTCTTTGCAAGCAGAAGACTTGCCAATATCGCGTTCCGTACATCGTTGGGCATAGATGATT